TTGTTCCAGCTAATCTCGGATGAATGACTGAGCGATTTTTGTTACTGTTTTATTAATCTCCAAATTGCCTAGATGATCGTCAATTATATAGATTGTCAGTTTCTAAAATCTACAGACCATCCGCTTGCCCGGTGTGGAGACGTGCGCCGGGGCCTCCGAAATTTGGTGCAGCGTCTCCACTGCGGACAGCGTTCATAGCTTGCAACATTCCGCGGTCGCATTCGCCATATCCCGCGGAACTGCACCTCTCCATCCGCGCGCAGTGGCTTAGGATCAAACAGCAAAGCTGTGGCCACGGATCTTGTATCAGTCTCTCTGGATACCACAACGGTGAACGTATAGGCAAAGTATCTTAGTGCATTATACTAGCGGTGTGAGTGATGATGATTACATAATTAATACGGTTGCTGTTGGTGTTATACTATAAATGTCTGATGTACGCAATACCTTTGAGGAGGCAATGTACCTGCTGATTCCGGTAAATTGCGCAAGAAGCCAATGGAAGAGAAATCTAAGCCGCTTTGGCGGGAAAACGAAGACGTTCCATTGACCCTCTGTGCCAGAAGGTCGGAAAGCGTGAGTGGGAGGTCGCTTAGGTTTACTGTGTGTTTAAAAAGTGGTCAGCGAGCTCTTGAGGATCAGAAAAGCAGTCAAGGCACGTTTTGTGGTGCAAAAGGGTATCCCAGAAACGCCGGTATTGATTATTCCGGAGCACTCTTTCCCCACAGCTCGCATTACTGTCAGTTTAGAGTTTTAGCTCAAATGCTGTACAATGATTTAATTGTGCACCAAATGGCCGTGAAAAACGGCGTATTGCTAAATGCGCGCCATAGCATGTGAATGTATCATTGAACAACCGAAAGGTTTTGCATAGAGGTACAAACGGTGAAAGCATTAGTGGGGCTACAAAGTCATGGTACGGCTAAACAAAGTGGTCGAAAATTGGAGATGGTGTTTTGCATAACTATTTGAATTGAACAAGGTTTTGAGGGCAATCACTGTCAGATATACCATGTGTACTAATACCAGATGCTCGAGCAAGTCAAGTTGTCCTTTGAAGTTTATCGGGTTGCATGAACAATGACCAGCAAGAACGGTAATCTCTGTTGCTAAAAGCCGAAACCAAGCAAAAACTTTGGCACGGACAGGTTCAAAATGAATAGACCTTTGGAGAGTTAGGTGGTATTCATTGGTATAGCATTAACAAGTTTTTCGAGAGCAGAACCTAATATCCTATTTTTCATGTATATTGCAAGATCCTTGCAAGATTTAAAAATGCAGGATTGTAAACTCAGACGACCCATCAGGCGAGGTGAGTGTATAAAATTATGCGGAGAATTGTTATCTGCTTAACGATACTAGATTGTGTATAGGAGAGATCGATGGGATAGTCAAATTTATGTTATGATGTCACTATGCCTGACCATGTGTTACACGGTCACCGAATTATCGCCAGTTTATGTCGAGCCCGACACAGGGCACTTATGACAGCAAAGCCATGGCTCTAGCTATAAAGGGCACAATACATAACGTCTGATTTTCAGGAAATCTGGAGGAAGCTTTAAGGTCAATTGTTTATGTGATGCTGATGGGGAGCGTCGGCTGATCGTAGAGTGTTATGGTTAGGGGCCTACTTTACTGTTATCTCAGCAACGGTCCGTTGATTTCATGGAAAAGCAGGAAAGCAACAGACAGTTGCCCTAATCTACTTGTGAAGCCTGAGTACATGGCTTTAGCCAATGGCTACCCAGGAAGCAAATTCTACTTCATTGTTAAAGATCTAGATATACTCGTGAAACAAATGGCGAGTCAGTAAACGTTCTACTCGACACACCAGGGTACGATAGCACTTGCGAAGAAATCCAGTGCCACCCGCAAAGGTCAAGATGCATATCTCAAATAAAATATCATTTTTCAGAAGAATGCGTCCGCAACCAAGGTGACGATCTATTTCACATTTCTTCTGAAAATATCATGTTGCAGCTGTGCTTACCAAAGCCAGGAACAAATTCAAGAAGCAACCTTATGGGCAAACCTTGTACAATAGGTGTAATCGCTACACTTGTGTATACGGCAATATTCAACAATATTTTTTTTATTTAAAAGCTGTGTTTAGGCCAAACAAAAGAATAGGTGTGTTTCCGGTCGACCGAACCTCTAGGATTATTAGGGGCCGAGCTAAACTTTTTTTTCAATAAAAAGTAATTATATAATTTTTTTTTTTAATATTGAAATCTGACAGACAAAACTTTGAGTTTTTTACTACACAACCGTTATGTATCTGCTGACTAACGTTATCCTGACTATAACCATTCAAGTAGCATGCATGCAGAGTATATTAGGAACCGAGAAGTAAAAATCCGACTACCGTACTACCCTACTTTTGTTTCGATGCAATGGAAACACCTTATTTTTTTGTTTGGCCTTATCACTTGAGTTTAAGTGATGGTGTCTGAAATAAACCTAAGCCTTGTAAGGTGGTGACCGCCTATCTTTACTTTGTACTTGTAACCGTGGTATATGTGGAGCGACTCCTCCTCTGTTGAATTAATAAAAAGTTCTTAAGCCGCTCTGCTGAGTGGTGTACGCGACGGTTTGATGTAAAACGCGTAGTTCTTATACTAGTTTTGGCTATTATATCCACCATCATCTGCCGATGGCGTCACAGTGATCACTGTCTATTGAACCGCGAGAAGATATCGCGAGAACGCGCAAACCCGTCACAGTGTGAACGAACCGCTATGTAAATGTCCAGTTGCGCGATCAATGATCCATGCGAGTTTATTCCAAATAATGCGCACTTTATAATTATTTTCCACACTAGCAATGGCGCTCACGATCTAAAGTGTAACATGGCATTTTCCTAATGCATTGAATGGTGAGCGAAATAAGTGGTACATAGATACTTGGACATGGTGCTTGTTACCGATGTCAATTTAATGCGCAATTTTAGCATTAAAAGATAGCTATCGTTATTCTCATATTCTTGATGTTGGAGCAGATATGCACAATTATCCAGAGAGACATGATACAAGATGGGCCATGGCAGCAGGCTTTGCTGTTAATCCTGGCGCGCCTGCGCGCGGATGAGACCGCCGCAGTTCTGCGGGATATGCGCACGCGACGTGGAGGGGATGTTCAGACGTATGATAGCGCTGTCCGCAGTGGCAGACGTGCAGCCAATTGAGGCCCGGCGCACGTCTCCACAGCGGTCAGCGATGGTCTGTAGTTTTTAGAAGATGACAAATCATATGGACATATTCCTAGAAATTGGAGATTATAAAAACAGTAAAAAAATCGCTCATCATGTTCGAATTAGCCACAAGTTCCATTCTCACGCTTAACACTACTTGGCTACTGTTCCTGAAACGCGTGGTAGAGCAGTCGAGAGCCTGGTCGGTTTTAGCCCCCAGATTAGTGAATAAAAAGATTAGAATTTATATATGAACAACAAAATATGAATAGTTAATATATAAAATTCACAATAGAGTAGACAGCGTATCTACACACACACAGCCATGCACACCACACCGTCACACCACACGCCCCAGCCTAGGAATGCACACTAGCACGACACAGCACCACAAACACACACACACACTATCACACATCTACACAACACATAACACACACAACAACAGACAGCGTTACATTCACCAAAGACGTGTCAACACCACACCGGCCTGTACTGTTCAGAAGAAATTTGGAGTAAAAGAGCTTGTGTGTGAAAATGGCATCCCGACGTAGAAAAGAACGTTGAAAGATAGGGATGGTATACTAAACTATGGGATGATGGATGATTTACTGCAGAACACATAAACTGACATAAGTATTATTATAGCATTGAACTACATTATTTATGATACACGGGCATATCTAACAACGCCCTTGAAGAAATCATTGAAACTACAATTACAGCATAAAGTTTATGGCTTTCAACAGTTCTAGAGAACGTTATTATACCAGTGAATCATACACATGAAGCCAGTTTTAACCAGTGGAAATCACACAAGGAAAGAGATAGCCGCGTGACGAGAGAAACTCACAACCACGCTGTATTATTACGACGTACACGCGCTGAGAGTCGAGGGGCGCAGCCATTTTCCGAATTTACGAAGTGGCGTTTATTCGAACAGCTTATGACAAATTATCATGCGCATCTTAACCTGAACAACATCGATGCATGATATCTCTAAGTTCTTAGGATATCAAGGTTTCCATATATTAATCTGGTATACCAAACGTTTAGAAGCACAGGCAGCTTGAACGTCTTTCAATATAAAAGAAATAATTGTAAATTAACACGAATGTATTACTACCAAAGTCTAATGTTCTCTAACTCTATTTCGCCGCTATTATAGCCGATAGATTACCCGTAAATGCGAGTCAAACGGTGCTCGTCTGCAACACCAAGTACAGTACCCGCTCGCAATCTGCCTGTGCAAAACACACACACGTGAATAAGTTGAACAACAACATAAATAAAAAGCAGAGTAGGAAAGCGTGATCGCAAAAATTCGCTCGACGCTCGCTTCATTTTCAACCACCAACAGACAAAGACACGACTTGTCTTTCAGAGAACGAAAGACAAGAAACAGCCTCCATATTGGTATCTATTGATAGCTAAATGTTCACGTTGTTCGAATATACTCTGCCTTTTGTTTTAGCTACTCCCTCCATAGATATCTCGTGAAATCCTGCCAGGAAATGTTTCTCTCGTGAAAAT